TAAATTACATTACCCCCACCACCCCCCCCCCCACGGGTTTTAGCCCCCCCCCCCCCCACTTTTCACTTTCCCGCCTAGCCTAAGCCTGGCGATCAAAATCAACTTTTATTTCTCCTAACAAACCCCCCCCCCCCCAACCAAAAATAAAAAGATGTTAAAAAAAAATAAAATATTTTATTGTTTTTTTTCCCAAATTAATTTTGTTACCAGGAAAAAAATCAATAGGCAGGCAAGGGTGGGTCAGGGGAGGGGGGGTGGATCCCCCAACTCAGATGGGAACCAACTGCTCCCCCCCCTCCCCGGTCCCCGCCTCCACCCATATGACACAATATTAAAAAAATGATACACCAATCCATTAAGTCATGATATGATTTAGTTAAATAAAATTAAACTAATTGATATGCCTATTTAAATCTGCATAAGCCCAATAACCGACCCAATAAAATTTATTGTCGTTATTTATTTATAGTCTTACAATTTTGCAAACTAATCAGTGACGTTCCCGAAAAGGGACCTTAATGACCGATTACCATGTCATCTGAAATTTTCAAGTTATTAACATGAGAGCCCACGTGATTTTATTTGTATATATTACGGAAAATGAGGGGGGGGGGAGGTGTCGTCACCTTACCCGTAACACATTGAAAAACATTTTAGGATATTTTTAAAAATACTTAAAAGTAAGTTACGCTATGTTTTGACATTTTTTACCCCCTCCCCCCCCCTCTGTTCCAATCAATCTGTCTCAAATCCCCTTTCCCCAAACCTTTTCCACAACCCCCCCCCCCCCCCCCAACCTCAAAAAGTCTGTCACACTTTCGAACTAAAAAATGGTTACAGTTGTTAAATTTAACCTAACACACTTCACTATGAAACTATTAAAATTATAAAAGTGACATCTTCTGTCAGAATACATCCATCATTACAGAAAGTTCGACATCACTGTCACTGAGTGACATCACTGATTCACTGTTTCAGTTTCAGGTTTTATGTGTAGGCCCTATAGTATGATTTTAAAAAAAGAAATAAAACGTGTCTCAAACAGTCCCCTTTTCTTAGACCCCCTCCCACCTTCGGAGTGTGGTGTACATTATGGGCGGCCCCTTTCATTTAATTATTGTTTTATACTATTTTATGGAAAGGGGATTATGTATAAAGGTATCGTTCCGCAAAATTATAAATAGATCCACACTTTTTTGTTTCACCAGATCGTCACATGATATTTTCAAAATGGCCGACTCAATGAAAACTTTGTTGTGTCAACACAGGTCGCTAGAAAATTACACTTTCTCATACTTTGTAAAAAACAATGCTAGTTAAAATGAATAACATAAGTTCTCGAGAACGCCGCATTAGTGGTTCAAATAAATCTACTGAGGTTATGAACAGATATTCAGATGATGTTGAGTCCTTAAATTCTTGGTCAGAAATAACTGCTGGGGGCGCCTCTGGCCCTGGCTCAGCAAGCTCGAATTTATCAACATCATTCTTTACATCAAACCCTGGATCACGATTAAATTCAACTTCATCTGGACGAGGAGTTCAAGGCAGAGATGGTAATATTCAACCACTGCCTTTACTAAATAATATCGCGGAACATTTATCAAAGTCACAATTACAGAAAGCTGATAAAAATTATGAGGTTGAGGCGGAGTTATCATCTCCTCCTCCCATTTTTGAAATTGATTCAGGGCCTGATTCTGCTTATTTTCAACAAGAGCCTATTGTCTTTAACAAGTATGGTTATGATCAAACAGACTCATATCAAGTTAGACCATCAGCTCTGAATAAAATTAAAGACAGTGACAACAAAACTGGGATTAACAAAACCAAATTCATTCATTCAAAGGAACAAGACAAAAGGATTGAAAAAATCCAAGATTTTCAAAAAGAAACATCCAGTAGTAAAAATTCAGAAAAATCATCACAAATCAAGAATAACTATGAAAAATTGCATTCAACTAAATCTTATTTAAGACCAAAATTCTTTGATTTTCCAAAAGGATCATCAAGTCATCTGCATCAAACCAAACGTGTTCAGGATCACAACACAGACCTCAATGATGGAAACTCTGAATCTTTCTCATCACTTCCATCTAACTTTTCACAAAAAAGTTTTGAGATTGCTCCTAATCTTTGCACACAATATAATCCAAATAAAGTGGAGCGTGTTTCCCATCTAGGAAAGGAAGTATCAAAGTCAAAGGAAAGACTTTTTAATTCTCAACCTGTCTTAAGTCAATCTCCACCAACACAAAAACAGACAATGTCATCTTGTGATTCTTTGGAACATCAGATTGAGCAGGAGACTATAAAAATGAAAGCACAATCAGTGTGGTATAGCTTCAGTAAGATTTTTTGCCATATTTTGTTCCATATTTTATGTTTTAAATTAGCTGATATAAATGCTTAAAAGTAGGTGTGCCTATTCAATTACATCTGATTTTTAACAAAATTAATAAACTATTATAGAAGCTCCCAAGACAAGATTCGATTAAAACCATCTACATTTACATTTGCATCATTCTCAGGGTTCCCACACAGTCAGGAAAACAGGAAATAGTTGGGAATGCATTAAATAATTTTCCCAGTCGTGAGAACAGAGAAAATGGGCATTCTAGTAACAAAGTTTTCTGCCAAGTCGAGAATTAAAAAAACAAACAAATAATAATAAATTTGGATTCCATGAAAATGGACCTTAATTGTTAACCTCTTCTATTTTTAGCCCTTCTGTTATCAAAAGGACTTGGCCACAATACTAGTTGTTTTCCTTTAACTGCGCGTGCGTTTTGAGCTTTAGAAGTTTAAAATACGAAATTTTGTACTGTACGTAGACAAGAAATACTTTTTTTCTGTTCAGTTCATCGATCAAGAGATGTTTGGGTAAGTGAAATGTAAATAGTAAATAATCATTTGATTCTAGTTTTTAATTGTTAGGTAATCATTATAAATAAAAAAGATCACTGTCTAAAATGACTAAGCCTTCTGAGCTTAGCCTACTTTGTTTTAAGTCATATTGATTTTACAATGGTTTTACTGTATGTGTAATTTAAAAATACTGTATGTGTAATTTAAAAATACTAGCGCTATCCTAATTTGAATTAGCTATACAATAATAATAATAGTAGTAATAGAAGCCTTCAGTATTGGTCATATTTCTATCCCATGACCAAAGTGAAGGAATTTGATTTTAAAATACGGTAGGTTGCCTTTATCTAAAACAATAACATCGTCATGTATTTATTTTTAATTAGAGTTAGGTTGTTAAGTTTAAGTACGAAGTAGGCCTTCTAAATAGGCTAATATTATTAAGTTATTATGTGATATTATTTTTTTCATAATGTAGTTTACGGTAACTTCTGAACTTCATTTAAAAGTTATTAAAACTAGTTGATGCACCTATTATCCATTGCGCATAACACATAATTGTATATACAGTGGAATCTCTCATAACGAGCATAATTTGTTCCAGAATCTTACTCGTTAAGCGAAACACTCGTTAAACGAAACAATTTTTCCCATTCATATCAATGTAAAATACGATAATGCGTTCCATGCTGAGAAAATACCCATTTTTCAAAAATTTAACATTTATTCAAATAAAATTACTTATGAATTGTTAAGGAGTGTAACAACTTGGAATACAATTTAGATTTGAAACAAAAAACGTAAATAATATGAATTTATGACGAATAATTAATCCTTTTTAACTATAAAACTGTCTAAAGACATTTTTTTTTGCAGACGCTTCAAAATTTGACGAAAATGTGTCACAGCATTATCATTAAATAAATCTGTAGCACGAATAGCCACCTCCTTATTAGGGTTATGCTTCTCAATGTACGATTCAACAGTTTCCCATGCTTTCAGCATTTCTCTTATTGTGCTAGAAGATTGTTGCTCTGCTACTTCCTCCTCCATTAATGAGTTCTCCTCCATAATTTCTTGCTGTGAAACACGATGCAACGCCATAAGCTTTCGGTGGTCAACTTTTGACTGTGCTCTTTCACAAGCTCTTCAATATCCTTGTTGTCCACCTCGAGTCCCATGATATTGGCCAATGACACAATCTCGTTAACTGTAGACTCCACAAGTACTGTTTCAAAATCACATTCAACAACACTCTCTGGCCAAAGTTTTTTTCCAAGCAGAAGTGAAGGAAAAAGGGACTTCCCCTTTCTGCATAAATCGTTATGCGAAATTTCGCTCGTTAAGGGAGCAACTTCTTCACATTTTTTTTGCTCGTTATGCGAATAACTCGTTATGAGAGGTGCTCGTTATGAGAGGTTCCACTGTATTTAGTTCTTATTTGTAGACTAGTTATGCACACCTGTTTTCTGGTTTTACATGACAGAATTAATGCTATTATTCATAAGCACAGTGGGATAGGCCAGGTTTTTTTTTTTTTTTGGTTTTTTTGATATTTTTTTTAATATTTTTTTTTTTTTTTTATTTTAGATTTTTTTTTTTTTTTTTTTTGAGGGGGGGGGGTGTGTGAGGTTTTTTTTTTTTTGGGGGGGGGGGGGGGGGCAACTTTGGAGACAAAAAAATGTAGTGGTGTGTTCGAGAAAGTCCTGACTATGTCATTTCATATGCATATGCCTATCTTAGTATCTCTTCTGACTCTATATTAGTTTAGTACAGGTATAATATAGTCTATATCATGTATGCCTTAATATAAACCTAATATGATAATATATTGAATCTATTTTGTTTCACTTTGCACAGTTTAGGCTAAATAAAATAATGTCCAACAGTTCCTTTAAAGATTGATGTTTAGGACAGTAATCATGATTGAACAAGTCATCACTGCTACACTATTACTGGAAACATCGATATCAAATAAATTTGCAGGACAGTTCTTATGTGCCATTTCAAGAGAAAAATATTTAATAAACGTCAATCATCTGATGAGATGTCATCTATTAAGTTCAACTTCAGCTTAATCATCTACTTTAGCTGTCCACTTCTGCAACTTCTCCATCAAGCTCCCACTTTATATGTCCAAATAACTAAACCTTTATTGGAAAGATTTTATGGACACTAACTAAAGTATGTTGATTCAAACTATCAATATTCATTGTAAGAAGAAAACCAGGACTCCATATATGAAGAGATGCTTTCTGCTTGTGGTGGCTATATGCATGTTCTATAATCCCCCCATGTTTCCTTAGCCCTTTTAAAGTTAGCAACTTGTCAAGTCTAAGTAAATTGAAAAATTGCTAGGAAATTTAATAAATATTTACATGTATACACCTTTGCATACACCTTTATTGCTTAATTTTATTCATATGTGTTGTATTTCAACATTGTTTTTACTATTACAATTTCATGCTTTTTTTTATATTATCAACAAAACCGTCGCTTTGCAATTATCAGGATTTTTTTTTTTTAAAGTTGGGAAAAACTATGGAATTTTGACTTCAAAAAGAGTGGGAACCCTGAATTCTGGATACCGTATTTTCGCGCATATAAGATCACCTAATTTATAAGACACACCCACATATAATATGCGGGTTTTGACGATTTATGTAAACAAAAATTACATAAGATGCACACCGCCTAGCCATCTGCCATACTGAGCAATTTATATACCCATTTTTAAGACGCACCCTTAGTGCGGGGTGCGCAAAACTTTGTATAAGATGCATCTTATGTGCATGAAAATATGGTAGTGTTTGTTAAAACTATGCATAGGTTTGCCTAGGGTTGGTTGGCTTCAATACTGTGCATGCCCTTCTGCAACCTAAATTTTTCGAAGTGAGTGAACATGCACAGCGGGATCTTAAAGAGCTTCAGCTTAGACAGTGTGTTGCCAGGTTGCCACTGCACTATGTGGTGGTGAAACTTACCCAACATATATTTGTGGCTTTCACCCTCATGAGAAAGAGTGGTTCACAAATCTTTGACCCGGGTGGGAGTGGGAGATCAGGGTGTCGTTTTCTATAATATGCAGATGAGATAGCCAAACTCCCCTTTTTATCTGTTAAAAAAAAAAAGGCCCATACAGATTAATTTGGCAGTTAACTATCTTCTGGTTAATCTGTGTAAACGTAATTACAAGTTAAAAGTTTTCCCTTCTGTTACATGTTTTCATGTGATAGTACTTGTTATTTATTTGCATGTGATGGTATTGTGGCTGTGATTTTTTTATAAAACCACCATCCTTTTTTTAAAAATGTGTGCCAAGCCTCTAGGCTTTACAAGGACTGTTGTGACAGTTTTTTCAAAATGTTATTTGTGTTGTGAAAATTATATCTTCTTTCATCTATTTTCAAAGGATGGAATTTTAAGCCCAAACAGACCATGAAGTATGATAGCCCATTGTTCATGTTAGGAAAATGCTATCACAGACGGAAAGATGGTAAGCAGAAACCAACTACAATTCATCTTTAATTAGTGTCATACTGAATATTAAGAAAAACAATATGTTACTTTAATAAACCAAGTATAGAAAACCAGGACTTTATATTAAACATATACACTAACATAATAATCTTTGGGTGTTTTTGAAAGTGTTGCTGTAAATAATTTTAAATTTAATTTTTTTCCCTTATTACAACATGATCATTGAAGCTAAAAATAGCTCTTAATGGTTTAAATTTAGGAATAATTTTCTATGTGCTTTCTAATTGTTCAGTGTCTAATAAGTAGATATTTAACTTAGCGTTAGGGTGAATTTTAAAAAATCCCACTTTTGTTTTGAAATGTAACAAAAAGATCCTAGTACTGAACCAGAAGAAGGGCATTTCTTAAAAGATTTTGCGAGTCGCATATGGTTGACCTACCGTAGACACTTCTACCCCATTCCTGGAACAAGCTTGAATACAGATTGTGGCTGGGGATGCATGCTCCGCAGTGGACAAATGTTGATTGCACAATGCCTAGTGACTCACTACTTAACTAGAGGTACATTTGAATATGGTTTTTTTAATAATTCCGATTTTAAATCACATAATGTATGTTACAATTATAATTGTTATATTTAAATTTTTTTAAAAATGTTATTTATATTTTAAAGTAATTTTTCGGGTTCATTCTCATATACAGGAAGAGCACTAGTTTTGGAGTGAACCATTTGTCTTTCTGTATTATTCTGTTATTTATTGTACCTAATGGGATCACATTGACTGCTTCAATGGGTAAGTGGCTTTTCTGTATACGTAAAATCATTTTCTGCTCCAGACTGGAGGCTATATGATTCACAGACAGAAACTCAAACCACATTCTACAGAGAGATAATTCGTTGGTTCTCCGACCCAATAGACACCCCATCAGACAAAACACCTTTCTGCCTACACCATCTTGCCAAGTATGGTCTTAATCACCACAAAAAACCAGGAGAATGGTATGGACCAACTTCAGTTGCCTATATTTTCAGGTAACAATATTTACAATAATTTTCATGAGAATTGTAACCAATATGAATAAGTTATTCTATGAAGTTGAGAAATTCCTTTGAATTGTTGTCTTGCTATTTTAATTTTTAAACACACATTGTTTTAAACAAAACTAAGAAGTTTATTTACAGATTTCTTAATAACACTATGCTCTTCAAGAAATATGTATGTCATTTTTTTTAAAACCCAATAACGCCTTACAGATATATTTCATTATTTTTCAGAGATGCATTCACACACGCTAGCCAGTCACTCCCAATCCTTAGTCAGCTGTGCATCTATGTAGCCCAAGATTGTACAGGTATTAATGAATCATTCTTATCTGAATTAGTATATTATGGTAATGGATGTAAAGGATAAAAAAGCACAAAGAAGAAGAGAAGAGTGAGATTAGATCACAAGGTGCATTAAATTAAGGCTTAAAATATCTATGAGCATAAACTGGTATAGGAAATAAGTTTTTGTTTGTTTTTGTTTGTTTGTTGTTATTTTCAAAACTGTTCATAATGGTCTAGAACAATGGTCAATTTTCATTATTGTATGTTTTTACCTCATTCTCTATAGTATATATTAAGGATGTCATTAACTTGTGCACGTCCAAGCAAAGATCAGAAAGTATAACCAGTTCGTCTGATTCAACTCAAGCTGAAGTTAATGGTGATACATTTTCTGAGGTAAACAGTAATTCTATTTCTTTTTTTTTTCTGCCTTAGAAAACTTGAGAGGTTCCATATGATAGTTTTATACTTAAACCAACATTATTTGTGACTTGTAGTGTCTCTGATCTCTTTCAGTTATTACGTGTGCACCTCTAAGCTTGTCTCTAAAAGTTCCTATTAGTTTTTACAATTTTGAAAGCTGTTTTTTTTAAAAAAAACAATTTATTGTGACTCAGAAAATTGTGTGTGGGTTTAAGTTGCAGGGTTCCAATGACACATGGCTGAGGTCTCTGATAATCCTAATCCCAATGAGACTGGGCGGTGAAGTCATGAATGAGATTTATGCTCCCTGTGTGAAGGGACTCTTGTCTCAGAACAACTGCATGGGCATCATTGGGGGCAAACCCAAACATTCCCTGTATTTCCTGGGGTGGCAAGGTGAGTAAAGTAGTGCCAGTTAAAAATGTTCGATTTTATGTCACTTGCCATTTTTCTCCTTTTATTTAAAAAAATATATATATATATATATATGGCCGAGTGGTCTAATCTGAGCAAATCTCAAGTTGGTGGTCTCGAGTTCAATTCCAGTCAAAGTCCAGTCAAGTAAAAACATCACCAGCACCCCGGGACTCCTTAACCTTGGATGGCAAGAGAAGGAATCTCTGAATTCGAACCCGGAGATGGAGGCCTGTAGGTGGATAATATTGGAACAAAGAAAAAAATCAGACAACTCCTGTGATGCCACTGGTGCCAAGCTGTATCATCCACATGACGTTCCCTTGGGTTATCCAGCGGCGTGGAGAGAGGGGATTTGCTGTTGGGAACCATCTTATAATCCTAGAAGAGTAATCCCAGGCCTTGTGGATTTTGTCCCGAGAAGTCTTCACTGTCAGCAAAAAAAAAATTATATCAATATATTATTACATACTATACATATATATATTATAAAAATAAAATATAATGCCAAATTTATGATAAATTATGACTGGCAACCAGTTGTACACATAAATTGTCATGCAACGCATAGTTTTTCAATAATTTTTTTTTTCAAAATTTTAATATTGTCGTCCCTCGACATAGAGCAGTTCACTTTTCGGCATATGTGTATTTTTATTTTATTATTTAATTTTTGCAGCATAATAGACATTTTCTAGCCTTAAATAAGTTTGGGAAAGGTTAATAACAATGTGGAAAAGGTTTATTAGAATGTGGGAGAGGGTTTATAAAGCCTTAAAATATATTTAAATAATTAATTATAAGGTAGCTACTTCGCATATTTTCTCCTTTTGTGGGGCGTTCTGGAACCTAACCCCTGCGATAGATGAGGAAACACTGTAGTGATCATTTATTTTAGGGTACCTCAAGCTTTTTAATTTAGGGGTGCGGTTCACTGTCTCTCAGACGCTGTTGGAGGTCGGACTGTCATTTGAAAAATATAATGATTTCCTGCACATAAATATGAAGTCTAAAAAAGGAAAAACCCCACAATATTTAAAATGAAGAACACTTTTAAGCAACATAAAGTTATTAGTATTTCAGTGGGAAGTATAGACTTGCATTTGGATAAATAGATGGGTAAATATCTATTTCCATATACATCACTGCTACCCGGGTCACATTAAGTTACAATATCTTTGTTCTCTAGGGGTAATTTAATTATTCGACAAACCAATGATTCATATAACAAATGTCTCTTTATTTAAATAAAGAGCATCTTCTTTCATCCTGTTCTCACTCTACAACTCTATTACCAATACTCCATTACTGCTACTCTAAATAAACTATAACAAAATTAACGTCATATCCCATACCGGTACCCAAATACATCACAAAATACAAAGCATATAGCTACAAAAATACTCTCAGCACCAAGCACGCACGCACAAAACACCAACGAATCATTAACACCAGAGTCAGGTTGGATCTGGGCAGTGGGCCCTAGCTTGAGGATCCTTATTTATATGTGGTCATGTTACTGTAAGGTTTAAAAAAAAAAGTGAAACATTTTAAGATGTTTTTAATTTTAAATTCTGATCTACATTATTCTCCTGCCTGAATAGCCCATTTGTTGATTGATTTCACATCATTATGAAGTCATCACTAGATGCTTTTAAAATGCACAAAGATATTTCATGCCGTCAGTCATCTTCTTACTGTAGTGTTCTTTTAAAATTTTGTAATTTACAGAGGATAAACTTATCTACCTTGATCCTCACCTTTGTCGTGATGCAGTGGATATCAATGATAAAAATTTTAGCATTGAGGTAAGTAGAAGGATTACCCATATCTGATAGTGCTATTTCCCCTTTTTTTTTAAATGAAGAGATGCAGCTTCATTTTATTTAATACAGATTTTATTAAATCACACAGCAGATACTTATTTGTGTCTTTAAAAAATGGGCTTCTTGATTTTACTTAAAAATCTTAGAATATGCTAAATTTGGAAGCTAACCATTAGGAGATGTGGTAACAGACAGTTGAATGTCACCTGAAGCAATTTCACAAGGGCTTGGACATAAATTCTAAATTAACTATTCAACTTTTTTAAAAATGGCTTTATACACTGAGTTTAATTGTTCTCTATCATTTAAAATTTCTATTTTTTAGACCTACCACTGCCTGTCCCCTAGAAAGCTCACTATAAACAAAATGGATCCCAGTTGCACTGTTGGCTTTTACATTCGCAACGCACAAGAGTTTAAAAAATTTGTCCAGGAAGTAAAAGAGGTAACCCATTTTTAGTTTTCCTTTTCACACATGCAATTTGTAGAATTTCTGATTTTTTTTTTCCAATACATTTTTTGTAAATAAAATCTGACAACTAAATTTGAGGTGCTTGTCTGTTTCCCAAAATTTAACTCATCTGTTTTTATACCTTCCCACACATATAGAGGGTCACAATATTACTAGTCAGAATCTGCAATTAATTAGGCAAACAAGCAATACAAGGAAGCCAGTTTATAAGTTCTCCATGACATTCTGTCACTTTAGAGTATGAATAAAACCTAGTTTAAAACAATAATATCTAAACTTGTGATATGTTTTTACTCGTCTTCAGTACATCTCCCCTCCAAAGCAACGAGGGACATATCCATTATTTATTTTCTCCGAGGGAAGTCACCATGATGCATCGGGACAAGACAACATTTTAACAGATAAAGGAAGAGTGAGGGTTACACATTATCATTTGGATGAAAATGGACAAAGGAAGCGCACATTTTCTAAAGATTCAGAAGAATATGTCATGCTCTAAAATGCAGTTGACGTAGTCCCTAGGATATTATTAAATAAACAACAGAAAATCTGGATATTCCCCATGGGAGTCACATAACCATTTTAAATTCTTTGCAGATTCGTTTTCTTGTTTTCTGAGATCTTCTGTTGGAAAAGGGGGGGGGGGGCTTTCAATAATTTTCATCACTATTTATTCTTTGATAATAACTATTAAATAAATATTGATAAGGGTGGATGCCAACTTAATGCATAGAATTATAATACTTTTATGACTAAATACTGGAAAAGATGTGCTTGAGTGGTTAACAAAAGTGTCCCCACCGATTATTAATGTTTCCAAAATATTCTGTGGGGATCACCTGAATAAATATTAGCATAGAAAATCTTAATAAGCTAAACTTAATTCATAAAAAAGTTTTTTTCCTGTTTCCTTTTTTTTTGTTTTCTTAAATAAAAACGAAGTTCACCTTTAATTAGTAGAGAAACAAACAAGATGGCATAGATATAGAGTGATTATAATAGATTTAATAAAATAAATGATGTGTGGTTAGGGCTTTCTTACGTTGTTGGTGACAGAGGGTGGACTTTAACTAGTAATTTCTCTAACTCTAATATTTTTTCACTTGGTCTCATAAAAACTTACTGATTTTAAAAAGTTTTTTTTTTATGAAATGACCTTTTTATTGTTATATTTTTTTTGAAGACCATTTGCCTGATTCAGCATTCTTTATTAACGTATGTTGTAAATTGCTGAGGAGTTCGCTAGTTAGGTATGAAAATAAGTAGATTGTATGGTCCTAAAACATTTTACGATATTTACTGATATTTACCACAATTTTTTTTAAAGTTACTTACAAGATTTTCATAATTTAAATTTGTTCAATTTTAATACTAAAAACCTGGCCACTTTTATTTTTTTTCATAGTCTTTATTTTATTTTTTTTTTTAAATAACTATATTGCTTTTTTTATGTCATAAAGTTAAACAATTAGTGTATTTTAAAAAAATAGAGTAAATATTGAAAATTCAACTAAATAATGATGACCGAATATTTAATTATTTTTTTTTGTTATGCTTCTAATTAAATTCCGGAATCAGTTTCTTTAAGTTTAGTTTAAATTTGGACGGACAAATCTGAGATTCTCCATTTGTGTATGTGTGTGTTTTTTTAATGGTATGAAATGATCAGATTTATTTTGTGCTTACATGATGACAGTTTCATTGTTAAGAAAAGAAGGATAACAGTATCCCTGCTGTTATTCACAAACACAAGTAAATGTCCAATCATTTCTGTACCATTACAACACTATTTAAGTTATTAGATATAATGTGTAAATAGGAATACTGCCTAATTCATCATTGCTGCTAAGTTATTTTTAAAGATTCTATTTTAACCAACCTAGTTCATAAATGGGTCTATGTATTCTATAATTTTGATAATGTCGGCTAAGTTAATTCATAACACAACATTTTGCACCTGTTGGTGCTGACTATGATTTTTTTTACTCATGTTTGTTTTTAATTAATTTTTAAGTCTATGGCAACTGTATGATTGTTAATTTTGATACATGAAAGTAGACTTCACCATAATGTTGTTTTCTTTTTTTTTAATAACAATCCTAGTTTGTACATATATGGTCATTCCAGTCAGAATTCCTCTAGTTCTTGATCTATCAGAGTACCAGAGTGCAATGTTTACAAGTATGTCATGCTTGAAATTATTCATACTCATCAATATGTCTTTCATGTCATTAGCCAGAAATTTAAAAAAAACTGAGAAATACCTGGCAAATGTAAGGACCGCCACAAAATAATGCAGTTGTTTTATTTATCATTAAACGTGACTGGCAACAGTTTCATGATTAATTTTTCACCTTGTTAATGGTCCCATTAGATTTATTTTTCTTATTCTGTGTTGACAGTGAGATTGTCTTGCTTATAAATTTGGTTTCTAAAGAACACTTCTATTAAAATCCTTAAAAATGATATGTTTTAAGCCAAAGGCAGCAGTTGTTGGGGTTTGGGCATGCACCCACAGAGCAAATCAGGGGCTACGATTACTCCTAGAACATCTTTTTACTCATTAATCAAGAATTAAGGATTTCCTTAGATTTTTTTTAAATTACTGATTGACTATTGCAACTGTGTTATAATATATATGAATGATATTGGGGACTTAGCATTTTTACACAAGAAATGTGTTTTACCATTAGGGACAGTCGTAAAAAGGAATACCAAAAAGGAAATAAGCCATTATTCCTTTGCATTGCTATAAAAAAATTCTTTGACTTTCTGTATTCGAAATTACTAAAATGTTTGTAAAAGTATGATCTTGCATGTTTTATATTTGTTCATAATTATCAAATTTGCACCAAAATCTGTTCAGTTGTAAATGAGTGGGTTTATAAAATTGTGGTAACTGGATCTAAAAATTAGGAATGCAGCAGTAAAGAAACTTTTAATTTGTCATTTGTCTTATTAAAAAAAAAAATACATACAATATAAGTTAATGGTCATAAACTATACAATTTCAAACTTGGATAACTGTATACTATAAATTATAATGGATATCACTAAATTAAACATAAATTAATTTTGACCTGTTTCAATACAAATAATAAAATTCTGTACCAATCCTATAACAGAAACACTTGCAAAGTAACAGTTTGCTGAAGGCAGTTACACATTTCCATACCATCACTCTTAGAGCGGTGTACATATGAAGTGTACTTGGAGCACTAACTTAACAAAAATTAAAATTTAAAAAAAAGAGGATTCCAAATTTTCCATTAACCCATTTTTTAACATCCCTGCCGTCCTCATGGGAATGGTTCTTTTTTTTTTTTTACATCCAAGATAAAAGTTATTATAGATCTTAAATCAAAGTTGAAAGGTCATATTATATCATATTTGTCTAAAGTTCATGAAAAGGGTCAACGCTAATTATGTAATATTTAAATAATATTTGCATCAATTGTCTCCACAATTAAACTGTAAAAGTGAAGTTAAGAAATGTTTTGTAGATCACCTTTATCATTATTGTATCTTTCTTTTATTGCTCTACTCCATTCAGTGCCATATTAAGTTTACCTACTGTTCTCTCTGATAAAATGCAATAGATATTATTTTTTTATCTTATTCTCTTTCAGGGAATTTTTAAAAAATAAAGTCATGACAAAAGTGATCCTACTCAAAATTCATCCCCTCTCTCCTATTCCTCCCACAAAAGAATTAACTTAGATATGTACACTAGGGCTAGATATGTTGTTCCATTATTATAATCAATTATGAGTCCAGCTAAAATATGATGCAAGCGATTTTAGTCCAAGAAAATCACAATTATCATCTAAATCAATGTTAAACAGAAATTTGAATCCATGTTATTATATTTTAAAATTATTATTATATTTTTATGTATTAAATCAGATATGTTTGTAAAAAGGAAATATTTGTTCTCAATCTTCTTTTTCTTTATTTATAATGATGTATAAGGCGAATGGGAATTGTTTAGTCGCTTAGTTATTATGATTACACTAGCAGTCAAACAATATACATCTGCCATCACATGATTAAGACTCAAAGGAAGACTTCCACTCGTATTATATGATATCTTTAAAGAATCTATCTTTAATAGATGGTAGAGATACATTTAATATTTAATACAACATAATGAATTGTTCATACCTTTGAATTAATTAAACTAACTCTGACATTTCTTCAACCATACTTTCTAGCAAAGAAAGCCCTGGCTCATGTTTAAAATTTTAGAAGATTGGTAAACTTTTTTTTTTTTTAAAGAAAATTATATAATTTAAACATTGTCCTTATCTATGATTGCTTGTATAGATTTCACTTAATTACCAAATAGGATATGTTCTGATTTGTGAGACTTATTAAAAGTTTTAACTTGGAATTTTGAAACTGTAAATGGACAAAAAAGATGCAGGCTTCTGTAATCATGTGCCATTTATTTTTACTGATTCATTTTATACAAATATTAATTTCTTTTAATTACACTCAGTTCTGTAAAAATGTTTCCAATTTTCAACTCTGTAAATTAAGTTTTTGTGATAATTCACGCCTCATCGTTAATATCAACCACAACAATTTTAACATGAAAGTTCTCTTGAAGTGAATTTTTCCATTTTTTTTTTTAAAATTGTTATTTTGAAGTACTGGTAGTTTTAAATTATTTTCAATGATGTACATTTAAAAAATAATTTTTTTTTTTTTTTTTTTTAAACACATTTTAAAATAACCCGATCCTCAATTGTATTTTAGGGAATATTATTTGCATGTTTTATTGCTCCTGAGTGGTTGTGTATCAAAATCTATCACCAAAAAAAAAAAATTTAAACCACACTGAGGTATTTATTATAATTCCTGTTCCAATTGGTTTTAACATGTAAATTATACTCTTGTAAATATGGACCAACATTTTAAATTGGTAACCTGTGTAAAAGTAACATTTACTTTCATTAAGAAATGGCATTTTCCAAGCGTATCGACAACTTAGTATAGGCCTACATAATTTAGGTTTGTAATAAATTTATGGAAATATATTTTTTGGGGAGTTTTCACAATTTGATGTGGAATAAAGATTCAAGAGGTTTTTCTTTATCCATGTGTTAATTCTTTTTAATAAACTTTTTTTTTGTTGTTTTTTTAGATCTGAAGTTGAACATAACTTTTTTCTTTAATTGTCATTTTTAAGAAGTAATTTATTTGATCCGTTCAAAGATTTTAATGGCATAAATATTATAAAAATACAAAATGTGCTGAAATAAATAAATGAGGGGGTTGTTGTTTTTTTTTAATCAAGACATTCATAAGGGCTTAATGAATAAAGCACTGATTTACTGTAGTCTCGATCTCAAATGCCTTAAATTACATTTGATGTATTGCCTGTTGATTGATAGTTGTGAATAGAACACATTATTTAATTAATAAATGTTCGACTGAATAAAGGATGATTGTTTGTTCTCATGTGTTAGTCTTCTGCATACCTGGGTCAAGCTCGAAAGCGGGTTTCGAGAGTGGGGGTGGAATGGTGGAGCCA